TGGCAGGCCGGGAGCAACACACTTGCCGGACATACTCGTAAAATTGATTCAAATAGCTTCTGATGCAGTCGAGGCGCGAAGCTGCTGTCTGTTGAACTTGCTGGCATCCACAGGACCCGCTTTCGTTTTGGAGGCCTTCTTCTCACCGCTGCGCTTGTTTTGAGTCTGTTGCTCCTTGCGGGCATCCAGCGAGCCGTCCAGGTATTCCTGCAGCAAGCCACGGTGAGCGCGGATCATGGCGAGGATGGTGTCTACGTGGTCCTTGGTGTGCGCCTCCATCTTCAGCTCCGCTCGGATCTTCTCGTCGTCCTGCCACATGGCCTGCGCCACCGGATGCTCGCAGAGGACCGCCATGGCGAAGTACTTGTGGGCTTCCGGGAGCCGTCGCACGACGTGCTGCGGCAGGCAGAAGTCCGTGGCCTTCTCGAAGGGAACATGAAGCATGAGCCACTGACCGAAGAAGCGGTCGTTGAACTTGGACACGGTCTCGGCGGCCACGACTTTCTCGCCCTGCATCACGTAGCTCGCAGCAAACTCCTCCAGGGTGGCCTCGCTGCCGGACTGCGCATGCTTCTTCTGCAGCCAGTGGCAGATCTTCCCTTCGGCCGTGGTCTTGCGTAGATAGTCGAGGAGGCTGATGCGGCCACAAGCCCAGTCCGCCTGCTGGTACAGCTCCACCTCGCGCGGCTGCGGGTCCTGGTCAGGGTAGGGCGCCACCAAATCGCGCTTGCCACCGCTCTGCGTGGAGAGTTGCCATTGCCGGAACTTGGCGCCGAAGAGCTGCAGCACCATCTCCGGCTCCAGCGGCCGATAGCGCATGAGCACGGTGGCGGCGATGCTCATGGCCTCCGCGTCGTCGTTCAGCCACTCCTCACTGGCCGCATCCGAGAACTTGCTGACGTACTTGGTGACGTAGGCACGGAGCAGGCCGTCGTCGTCGCACATCTGGAAGTCCTGGTGGCAGTGGAGCACCTCCATCAAGTCCACGATGTAGGGGCGCATCCCCGCCGCATGGTCGTCCTCCGTGTGCTGAAGGCGCCACGCGCCTGTCTCGCGGTCGAAGCAAGTCGCTGCTTCGTGGACGGGCCAGCCGCTCTTCTTGTCCCGGTCGTACTGGCTGCCTTCGACATAGCCGCGGAGGTCCGCATCTTCAGGCAAAGTAGCAGACACAGTCTCCACCAGGTTTAATTGCTCGACGTCCTCGGGCTTGACAAAGATGACGACGTGCACGTGCACTCTGCCGGAGCCGTGGTAGTCCTGGGTGGCTGCCTTGCGGGTCCCGTCCTGATACTCGAGACGCAAGAAGAAGTGCAGGCGGCGGGCGTGGCCCTGGTCGTCCAGAACACGGAAGATGTTGCTCTTCCAAGGCTGCTTCCCAGATCCGCCTGTATGCCCCAGCAGCAAGCCTTTGACTGCCTGGACCATGACGTGCACCATGTGCAGCGTCTCAGCGACCGGCAAGAACAGGCGCTCCTTGAGCAGCTTCTGCATCTCGTCGCGGACCCACTCGTGGTAGGGGAAGCTCCACTCGTAGGGGGCGATCGTGAAGAAGATGCGAGGGTAGCCGACTTGCCGCACCATGTCCAGCAAGGCATAATGCACGCCGCGCCAGTAATGAGGGCTG